TCGATGGATGAATGGATAAAGAAGATGTATATATATATATATACAATAGAGTACTGCTCGGCAATCAAAAAGAATGAAATCTTGCCATTTGCAACTACATGGATGGAACTAGAAGGTATTATGTTAATCGAAATGAGTCAGAGAAAGACAAATATCATATGACTTCACTCATGAGGACTTTAAGACCAGAACAGATGAACACAAGGGAAGGGAAGCAAAAATAATATAAAAACAGGGAGGGGGACAAAACATAAGAGACTTTTAAATATGGAGAACAAACAGTTACTGAGGGGGTTGTGGCAGGGGGGATGGGCTAAATGGGTAAGGGACATTAAGGAATCTACCCCTGAAATCACTGTTGCACTCTATGCTAAGTTGGATGTAAATTAAAAAAAGAAAAAGAAAAAGAAAAGAAAAGGAATCAATTTTCTTTCCAGGACAGTTCTTGGAAAACCTCAAGAATCTCTCGCTTTATATAATAAGCAGTATACATTCAAGAGTTGATATCTAAAATAATGAGTATGTTCATATAAAAAAAGCTTCCTTATAAAATAGGACCTCACAGTGAAGGTGCCTTCAAAACATTTTGCCATCTACTGAAGGGTAATACATTGACTTGATTGATATATCTGAAATACTTGCTAAAAATGGAAGCATTCTCTATGCTTGGATTTAGAACAGGAAGTGCGGGGGCACCTGGATGGCTCAGTTGGTTAAGCATCCGAGTTGGGCTCAGGTCACAAGCTCTTGGTTTGTGGATCTGAGCCCTGCATCGGGCTCTGTGCTGACAGCTCAGAGCCTGGAGCCTGCTTCGGATTTTGTGTCTCCCTCTCTTTCTGCCCCTTCATCGCTCACGCTCTGTCTCTCTCTCTCTCTCTCTCTCAAAAAAGAAAGAAAACAGAATATGTAGTGTAAATATGAATATGATAATTGGGGATGGTAAAGCAAAAATTAGCCCAAACCTCCAGATTTCCCCTATTTAAAAACAGTGTTTCCCAGTGAAGTTATGTATATGATTTTTTTAATTGCAGCACTATTTCTTAACAGCATAAGATTGAAAACATGGCAAATGCCTGTCAATTGGAGAGCCGTTAAATGTTATGATACTTGCAGACAATGGACTAGATTGTAGGCATGAAAAATAAGCATCCCCTCTATATAGTAAGAAGAAAGAATCTTCAGAATAAATCAAATGAAAAACAACAGCAGCTCTAGTATGTTATTATTTGTGAAAGAAAAAAAAAAAGGAAGAGCATGAGAAAGAAGTGGTTGCTTCCAGGAAGGGGACCAGGGAGGTTGGGCACCAGGGGTAGGAGGGATCATTTTAACTAGGTAGCCTTTCATACCCATAAAAATTTATTAAAATAAATTAATAAAAGCTTTTTAAAAGGCTAAAATAATGCTGCTCATCACTATATACAATGTGATTACTCAGATCACATGGTATGTCATCAACTAGAGAAATCTGTTTGTTACCCTGGGATTTGGAAGTGTTTAGACCAGGCTGAGAACTCCCATATTGTTTCATTTTTTTCACAGGGGAAATGAATGTTCTGGTTTTAGGCCGATAGACAAATACACACATTTGTAAGCCCTCAAAGGCCTCTTCAGCAGTTCACAATGTCCTGCAATTTTATATAAAATGGGCAGTACCTATTGGAATTCCGGGGCTTTTTGTGTTCATTGTTGCTGGTGGAAACAAATGGCCCAGGGCGGGTTTTTGTGTTTAATCACCCACTCCCCCAAGAGCCATTAGATATGCAAATGAGATCCTCCCAATATTCAGTGACTGAGGACTCCTCCCCATCCCACCTCCCCCCCTTTTATTTTGAATCATTAAAGCAACATGACTTGACTTGATCTGGGGAAGCATCAGGAACTTCAGTGGTGTCAGCTTGTAATTTTGTCTTCCAGGATTAATGGAAGTTGCCACCATCATCTCTATGGCAAGGGTGTTAAAGTAAGCAAGCATGAATCCCTGCAGACCAGAACTAGGTGAAGACATCGGACTCAGAACTGAATGCAACCCGGGGACAGATCCATGCTTAACTACCCTAATGGGCATCCTGTCCCTAATCAGGTCAGGTGAGCCACAGTTCCCATTTAGTCAAATGAGCAGCAGAGCATAACTACCCTTCTGCTGACAAGCTGTTTTTGTTTTAATCTCTACACCCAATGTGGGGCTTGAACTCACAACCTTGAGATCAAGGGTCCCATGTTCTACCCACTGAGCCAGCCAGGCTTCCCACCTGCTGGCAGGTTTTCTATCCTTGAAATGTGGGAGATTGAAACCCAAACATTCAATAACCCTTTAGTCTCCAACAAAGCTTCCCGGAGGGTTGGAGTCCCATTCAGCCTAGCCTTTCCCCACAAACTTTTTAAATAGAAAAGAATTTTGTTTTTAAAAATAACAGTCGGAAGATGTAGGGTTCTCAGGTGATGGTGGGAACTCAGGGACACTAACGACATTTGTTGACTTCAAAACCAGCCTTGGCAGAAGCCCGCTGGGCCAGAATGACAGACACTACTGAGTCCGGGAGTCTGGGCCTGTAGGAGAGGGGCGCGTTGCTCGGGACGCGCCTGCACCTGCCGGAAGTGGCTCGCTGGCGGCAGCCTCACTCGGCCTCCTGCTTCTCCTCTGGGATCTCCTTCTTCTCCTCCGGGGTCTCCTTCTCCTCGGGGATCTCCTTCTTCTCCTCCGGGATCTCCTTCTTCTCCTCCGAGATCTCCTTCTTCTCCGAGATCTCCTTCTTCTCCTCCGAGATCTCCTTCTCCTCCGGGATCTCCTCCTCTTCGGGGATCTCCTTCTCCTCCGGGATCTCCTTCTTCTCCTCCGGGATCTCCTTCTCCTCCGGGATCTCCTCCTCCTCGGGGATCTCCTTCTCCTCCGGGATCTCCACCAACAGGATCTGTTCACCGGGATCTGGGCCTGGGCTCATGCGGATCTGCACCGAGTGCTCCTCCGGCCCAGCCGCCCCTTCCCTGCCTTCCTCGGGCCTCTCAGGGGAGGCAGGTGGCGGAGAGCTGTGGGCTGGGGGCTTTGGCGGTGCTGGCTGGTCTGGGGCGGCGGATCCCGCCTCTCCCGCAGTGTCTTGCGAGCTCTTGGCCTGAAACCGGAAAGGGTGACTGGTGAGGCAAAGAACATCGGACATTTCTTGGAGGGGTCTTAGAGGGGTCTTGCACACCTCCCTGTTCCCCTTCCTCATACCCCCAAGGAGGAGAATGGCAGAGCACTCAGGGGTTCAATATAATGGATGAGAAGTGGGGGGATGGAAGGCATCAGGATTATTTGGTAGACACAGAGTATATTATGGTGAAGTTTAGGAATTAAAAAGTCCTGGCTGGACTTAGTGGAAGGTCTTGGGGATATTTAGGGTCTCTGTTGATGGGCAGAGCTAGAAGCCAGAGTGGAGCTGCAGGTTCAAGCCTGCCCCTGAGCCATTGAGGGAGGAGAGGCTGAGACCAAGAAGGAGAACCACCAAGCCTTTGCAAAGCTGAGCCGGTGGCCCTGTCCACTTACCAGTGGCCCTGTCCACTGTCCAGTTACCAGGGCTGGGTGCTCCTGGGTGAATGAGACAAATTCTAAGCAAACAAGGTAAAAGGCTGAGATGGCAGAAGTAGCTGTGGGCTGTCCCCCTTTCTGGAAGCTCTCAAAGGTTGAGACCTCTCCTCCCCCGGGAGAAGAATGGGCAGGATACCACTGGCATTAGGCTGGGCTCAGCCCCCATACTTGGGGACTTGGTGGGTACTTCCAACCCCAGCCTTTGCGGTTCCTATGGACACTGGCCATGGTCTGTGTATCAGTAAAAACCCAAGCCTTCATGGATATTCGTGACCCCACCTGCCCTGTCTGACCCATCTCTGCATGAAAATAAATGGGAGAGAGTGGCCCCCAGAAAAGGGGGCCTGAATGGTCCACAGCTGTGCAAGACCCACATGTGAATTAAAGTGAAGGCGGTCAGCATGCTCGTGAGGAACAGAGACGTCTGAAGTTTGCTCAAGTCATAGGGTGTTGAAGGAAGGGAAGTGGGGTAGGGAACCCCACTCCAAGAACCCAAGGCAGCTCTGGGGACAAACCACTCCCTCTGTCTCAGTGTTCCTGCATGTTTTGGTACACCTGTTCCACCTTCCCCTATCTGCCCTAAACTCTGACAACACTCTTCCAGGGCAAGATGGTGCCCTGATGGGGCTTCCTGAAGCATCCTGCTGTGAATGGATCCAGAAGAATCGTGGGAATGTTGGTCAAGTGCTTCGCCATGTTCAAAATACCTTATAAAAGATATCCAAGGGGGACCTGGGTGGCTCAGTCAGTTAAGCATCCGACTTCAGCTCTGGTCATGATCTCATGGTTTGTGGGTTCGAGCCCTGCATCAGGGTCCATGCTGACAGCTTGGAGTCTGCTTCAGATCCTCTGTCCCCCTCTCCCTCTGCCCCTCTCCCACTCATGCTCTCTCTCTTTTTCTCTCTCAAAAATAAACAAATATTAAAAAAAAAAAAGACATCCAAGGTATCCTCCTTCATCTATACAATGCCATGTGGCAACCATGAGTAATCTGCATCTCAGAAAGCTTGAGGAACTTCCCTGGATCACAGACCTGGTGGTGACAGAGCTGGGATTTAGACCCGTATCTTTGGATTATTATTTAAGAGCTCCTTGCACTCTGCCATTCTACCCTGATTGTTCTAAAACTGACTTTTATTAGAATTCTCATGCAAATTTAATTCACATCTCCAAGCTGCCTGGGTAAAGAGCTAATATTCAGTAGCAATAAGCCCCATTTCAGATAAAGCCTTTCACTGTACTGAGAAGAGCCTTGGAGCTCATGTCTGCTCAGTCCCACGCAGCAGCCGGCACTAAGGACCCCAACTGGCTGGTTCGACCTTGACTCTGACAGTTTGTGAGCCAGGCAATCATATCTGTCCTCAGTCTGAGGCCCTGGGTGGCTGTATCTTGAGAAGATACTGGAACCCCAGGGAGCTTTGATGTCAACTCCCAGACTCCAGATATCAAATGATCTCTGGACAGGTCCCGCAGACTCTGACACCAGCCTGGATTGAGAATAAGTTCACTAGGCTCGTTTCCTGTCGCGCCCCCCTTGCCCCCCGCCCAAGATTTATTTATTTTTGAGAAAGAGAACGCAAGTGGGGGAGGGGCAAAGAGGGAGGGGAAACAGAAGATCCAAAGCAGGCTCTGCGCTGACAGCAGTGAGTCCGATGCGGGGCTGGAACCCACGAACTGCGAGATCATTACCTGAGCTGAAGTCAGATGCTTAACCGATTGAGCCACCCAGGTGCCCCCTTTGAATTCTGTCATGTGGACTGCAGTCCCCTCCCTGCCACGGAGCTGCTACCTAACCACGGCCTCCTTCCCAACAGCCTCCCTAAAGGACAGTCATGAATAGTCATAATTAGTGCAATCATTCTAATTGGCACTTTTGGCATTAGTCACAGAAAAGAGTCCCAGAACTAATTTTAAAATTCCCTTCAGATTTCCGAGGACTGGGGCAGGGAGGACAGTTGGCACTGTGCCTGCTGCAGAGTTTTTTCTCTTCAAATCTTTTCAAGTGTCACAGACACAAATATAAAATATGAGGACATCACTGCCATCTGGGGAAGGACATTCCCTGCCCACACCCACTGCTCCTACCTCTGCAAGTGCAGGAGGACTTCCCGTAGGAGGGATGCCCCCCTCAGCCCAGGCAGGGGAGCCTGGTCTCTCCACACCACCACAGTTGGTGGCTGGGGAAGTGGCACGCGATCCGATTCTGTCCAGTGACAGTGAGCCCTGGGACTTTTGCTGGAATCATGGGGAAAGAGGGACTTTCTGTTGGGAGTTGCTAAACCAGAAGGATGTAACCCTAGTGCCCTTGTGATGGGACGCTGTCCCTGAGGAAAGCAGGAATGACAGAATGGCAAAACCAGTCCCCTGGGCATTGTCTGAACTCCTGGATCCAGCCTTGCCTGAACTGCCCAGCTACCTGACCCCCATCAATTCCCTGTTTTTTTAAGCTAACGTGAGCTGGCACCGTGACTTGCATTTCTGTCACTTGCAACCAAATGAGTCCTGACTGATGTGAAGAAGGGGGAGAGATTTCCCCGCTCTCTGAGGCACCCTGGCCCTCTCTCTGGCACGAGGCTGAAATGGACAGGGAGGCTGGGGAACCAACCGCGTTACCTGTTCCAGCAACTGCTGCTGCCTCGCTGCTGCCTCCAGCGCAGCCAGTTCCTTGAGCCGGGCCCTCAGGTGGGCAAGCTTGCCGGCTTTTGCCCCCTTGGCGCCCATCTTTCCTGCTATGGCCAGGGCGGCGTTGAACAGCTTGGGGGTGCCTGCCCGGGGAGGAAGGATGAACACGCTCTTCTCCTTGGGCTTGTTGTTATTTCTTAGCATGCGCCTGAAAGAAAGCAGCGCCCGTGAACATCACAAGCATGCTCTGGGAGAGAAGAAAGCATCATTCACGTAGAATCCACTGGGGTTGTGGTGTGGCGGCGGTGGTTTTGGCTGGCGAACTGTGAGTAAGCATGGCGCAAAGTGCTTTATGCGTCGCATCTCAGTCAGTGATGGGAGCAACCGGGACGACGTGGGTTTATTGTCTGTACCTTATAGAGGAGGAATGCAGGCTCAGAGGGGTCAAGAACTTTTCTGAGGTCACACGGGAAATACTGAATGATACTATAACATATGGACTCAGAAATAGGATGCTCCGCTGAAAAAAGACCCAAAGCCTTTCCCTTCTCTTCCTTTTGCTTCGCTGTCATTTTGCCATCCTCACCATCACCTCTGTCAACACTTACTGAGTGTCTGTATGTGTCAGGTGCTATGCTCAGTCCTTTACAGACCCTCTTCAGTGGCCCCTGAGATCCCCCTCCCTGGTGTTCCCTCCCCTTGAGGGGTGAGTGGGACATGTGACTTGCTTTCAACCAGCAGAATACAGCAAGGGTGATCAGATACCACCTTTGTGAATATGTCACATGGGACTGTGATCTCTGTCTTACAAGGAGACTCTCCCTCACTGGCTTTGATGAAGCAAGTGGCCATGTTGGGGGAGGCCCACGTGGCAAGAACCAAGGGCAGCTTCCGGCCAACAATTAGCTGGGAACTGAGACCCCCAGTCCTACAACCACAAGACACTGAAGTCGGCTCACAAGCATGTGACCTTGGAAGCAGGTCCTTCCCCAGGGGACATTTGAGATGGGACTCAGCTCTGGCCCGCACCTTGATTACAGCCTTGCAGCAGACCCACCAAAGCCACCCCAGACTTCTGACCCACGGAAACTCTGAGGTAATCAATACGTGTGGTTTTAAAAGCTACTCAGTGTGTGATAATATCATTACGTAACAACAGATAACTGATACACATTCTGTCATTTAAATCTCACAGAATCCTCACAGGTAGGCCCTATTTTTCTCCCTCATTTCAAATAAAGATATGCAAGGCCAGAGGGGTAAGTAATTTTCCCAAGGTCACACAGTGAGGAAATCACAGGGGCAGAATTAAAACCCAGATTTAAATGCAGTTTGCCACCCTGCTCTCTAAATAAGGAGACAATCTTCCATCGAACAGAGCCCCAGCCTTTGATAAGGAATATTTCACGCTACAGATATGTGATGAGTGGTTTGGCTCAAGAACAAATGAATTGTGTCTGCAGTCTAGTGGGCCTAGACTCCTAATTGGCAAATTCATTCACCAGAGCTCCAGCAAAACTTGTTTGTTTAAAAATGAGGCCATTACTGGCTGCTTATCTAATCAGAGGCAATGGATTTAAATTGTGCATATTGATATTAATTGCCCAAGACTTGCATTTTCCGGCTGGGACTCCCCCAGGAGAACACAAACATGATAATTCATCAGCGGCCTCTCCATGCCTGGCACTGTCACCTGTGTCATTTAGTCCATAACTCACAGCATGACAGTCTGTGGGAAGGCTCGGCGTGGTACAAAAATGACACAATAGAACTATCTATGGGACTTTTTCTGATTGCTAAGGGGCTGTCTCTCTTTTGAGACACTGAGCTGGCTTCTGGGACATTGCCAGATTAAGGAAATTCAGCCTCATTTTCCGATGACGCATTTTCCTATAAGTAGGATCGCACATTCATCCCTGGAGAAAGTAGCATGCATGAGACCTTTTTGCCCTAGTTCTTGGAGTGGCCAAGCCAGAGAGCTGAGCACTTCACTTATTCGGGGCCTCCGGTCCTCCATCTGTAAAGCAGGTAGTTTAGACAGAATCCCACACGTGGCTGTCACCAACTCAGACATCCCCAGACTCTGTGGCTCTCAGATCGTGTCTTTTCCTTTGATGGGCAGAGCTCCCACATGATCCCCTGCCTCTGTCCTCAAGCTTGCCTTTCCAGAGAACCACCTCTCTGATGAATCATGCCACAGCTCTGGTCCCAGGGCCTCTGTGCTGCAAGGCCTGTCAGCAACTCCTTTCTCTGGCTGCTCCCCACCCCGGGCCAGCACCTCAGCCCCTCGGCCTCCTCCAGTGCCAGGCACAGGCTCACCACACGTGGTCAGGAGCCTCTGCGGGATGCTAGTTGATTTGCCACACCCTCACCTAACCTAGCCAAAGAAATGGGTGGCTTTCTTGGGCCTTGCTCCTCTTGCGAGGGGAAGAAGGCAGGGTAGGGGGACCTGGAACCCGCTCTCCGACATAAATAGTTGATTCTCACTATTCCTGGTAGTGTCGCTCTGTAGAGCCCCTGCAAACACCGAATTAGTGAACACCGAGTCATTGTTTGTGGGGCAAACACAGGCTTAGGTTTCTGCGAGCCTCTCATGACAACATTTTCATCAACTAATCAATATTTGTGTGTGTTTCTGTTTACAGACATCTTATGTAATACACAGTTGATTCATTACCATTGAACTCACGACGAACATCTCTGAAAGTCATGCCTCAATGAAGCTTGTCTAACCACGTGTTTCCTCTGTAAGGCCCATCCCAGCCCTCTTGCCCTTGGGAACACAGACAGCACCTCAGCACTACACTTAGGGGCCATTTTAAATAGCAAAATTACCAATAAGGATCACAAAAATGTGAAAAAGGTGGCACTAAACAGACCACAAAAGGACGCTTGCTTCCAAGTGTTCAGACGCTTACGAGCTGAAACAATAAAGCAGAGTGTCACCTTGTTCAACTTCTGCCCAGGATGTGCACTTCGGGCAACTCAAAGTTTTCACTGCTCTGCACACATCCACGGAATACTGGGAATGCCCGTGAGTGCTGATTTCGGGGTTACAAATAAATTTTAGTGAGTAGGCGAATTGCAAACACAGAATCGCAAATACGCGACTAATGAGGATTGGCTATATTTCCCTGTTCCTCGGGAGAGCAGGAGGAAATGGGCAAATTTTGTGGGAGAAGTTCAGACAGACCGGCCTTTGGAAGGGCCCAGTGGCTTCCCTAAGAGCAAACAGGGAAGCTGGGTTACAGGGCGGCCTCCTTCCTCAGGGTACCCCAGCATCCTGCATGTATTATGGGCCAACATCAACACAGCCCCCATTCACCTGGGGGTGCCGAAAGGGTTTTCTTAAAACTTAAGTCATGTCAAATCATTTGTCTGTGTAAAACCCCACACAGCTGCCATCTCCCTCAGAATAAAACCCAAAGCCACTGCAAGGCGTCACCTGAGAGGCCCTACCCAAGCTCATCCCCTTGACTTCTCCCATCCCATATCAAGCTACTCTTATTTTCTTGCTGGTCCACGCACACACTGAGCTTGCTCCTCCGCAGAGCCTTTGCACATGCTGTTCCCTCTGGCTGGAATGCTCTTCCCTGCAAGCAGTCCTGCTCATGCTTTTATTCTGTGCAGGTCCCGGCTGAAATACCACTTTCCTCAGAATGGTTTTTCCTGGCCAACTTATCTCAAGTAACTCCCTCCATCACTTCTGTCTCCTCGATATGGTTTGTGTCCCCTCACAGCCCTGTGCCCAGCTGGGGATATCACATAACCATTCATTTCTCCATTGTTGGTCTCCCCTATTAGAATTCAAGCTTTATTTTGTCCCTGCTATGTCCCCAGGGCCTAGAACTATGTACTCAATACATTATTGTGTGCTGTGAATGGAGGCAGTTTATTTATGGTGTCATTTCATAGAATGAGGTAGAAAATAGGAATATATGATAAAAGGCGAGGGAGGCAAAACCAGATATATAGATTTGAAAAGGCTTTATCCAATGAGAAAATTATAGAGAGGATTTAATGGATAAAGAGGAACCATTATTAATGTTCACTGAGCTCTCCCACATGCCAGGTACCTTGCTGGAGACATTCATACACACTATTTTATTTAATCTTCCCAACAACACAGTAGAGGGGATTACCCTTATTTTATAGAACTGCAGAAAACTGAGACCCGAGAAGTTGAGTAACTTCTCTAAAACCACACATCCAGTACCTCACAAGGACAGGGTTTGAGCCCTGTAACTTCCCAAGCCTGTTGTGGATTTTCTACCACACCCTGCTGCCTCCATCACTCAACTCAAAACCTGATCTGAAGGGTTTGAAAACAAACAAACAAAAAAAACTGCTTTTCTAAAAACTTACCTATTCTTCAACAGTACAAAACACAGATACATGAGGTGGTTCGCTGCAGCACTGTTGAGAATTGCAAAATATTGGAAATGGCCTAAACGCCCATTCATAGAAATGGTCTGCAAGCATCAGAGGAATGCAGATGGGTCTATGGCCTGATAGAGAAGGCTTCTCAGGATTTGTTGTCATGTGAAAAAAAGCAAAGTGCAAAAGAAAGTCTACAGTATGCTACCTTTTGTGTGAGACAGAAAAGAAAATAAAATATTCACCCATCTGCCCATTTCTGCAGAAGGAAACACATTGAGGAAGCAGCAGAAACTAATGAGCCTGGGTTTGTATAGGGGCAACCGGTTGGGGGGTAGCTGGGACAGTCTCCAGGCATCCCATTTTGTTGCATTATGACTTTGGGTGCCATGTTAGACATATTCAAAACAACAAAAAATCAACAAGGATTGGGGGTGAGAGGAATCATAAAAAGTGGGATGCAAACCTGGGTGTATTTCACATGAACAGAACACCCACACTAAAGGGAGAAAAAAGAAATGAATCCGAATAACTCTGAACACAACACTTACATCGTAGACACTCAGGCTAAAGACCAAAGGAAATGTACCAAATGTTGAATTCTGCTGAGAAGGCTTCTCCCCAGCCCCCACCCCAGTGGTATGGGAGAGCAATTCTGAAACTGCTTTCTCTATATGGTAGGACTGAACAAAGGAGTTAATGTAATGAGGGTAAAGAGAGCTAAATTTCTCAGGGTTGGAGAAGAAATTTACCAAATATGGGAAAGGAACAGATTAGAAGGATTTCCATGGTGTTGGACTGAAATCGTTAGGTACAGACACAGATACAGACAGCAAAATAGATATTGATATATACACATATATAGATACACTTATTTTTTTAATGTTTACTGTTTTATTTTTGAGAGAGAGAGAGAGAGAGAGAGAGAGAGAGAGAGAACACAAGTGGGGGAGGGGCAGAGAGAGAGAGAGAGGGAAAGAGAGAATCCTAGCAGGCTCCACACTGACAGCAGTGAGACTGATGCGGGACTCGAACTCATGAACCATGAGATCATGACCTGAGCTGAAGTCGGACACTCAACTGACTGAGCCACCCAGGTGCTCCTACACTTATTTATGTATATTTGCATGTGGGTGTATTTCCCAGCTCTGCCCACTTCAGAGCCTAGTAGCACCCCAGTAGCAATGAGCACATGGAGTGCTCAAATGTTGGTTTCTAAAAACCATTTCCACCTACAAGGAATCAAATGGCCATTTCCAGGGATGTGGCAGGGAAAGTACAAGATGACCCCAGAGCATCTTATTGTGGCTCTTAGCAAGAAAGTGCTAAAACGTGTTGGGGACGTTACAAAGAGTCACAAGAGCAAGCCTGAAGAGGCGCCTGCTGGCCAAATTTAGTGCAATTTGACACCAAAACAATGACTGTAACATGATATTTATGGAACAAAACAAATCCATATTGATATAGATAAATGAATAAACCAATAAATGGGAAGGAAGAGAAAGCTCTTCCTTAAAGTAGAATGCTCACTAATAAACGTAGAAAGCACAATACGTAGGAGTCAGAAAATTACCATTTGGCAACCACTGCGGCAATCACTGATTTAGCAAGAACCCTCAATGGGCACTGGAAGTAGCAAGTGAAGGCTTGATGGGGAACAGGAGGTCCAGATAGCCTCAGAGTGACTCCGCACTAATTACTTATCAATTTCAAAGAGAAAAATGTTAACTTTAGAGTCCAGAAGGCTTAATTAACCAAGTGATGGAAAGGAAAATCATCAATAATACTGGGAGAAACCAGCCTCTCGATATGCTGCACTAAGAAGAATACAACATCCCCTTTTTTTTTTTAAAGTAAGCTCGGGGCGGGGCGCCTGGGTGGCTCGGTCGGTTGGGCATCCGACTTCAACTCAGGTCACAATCTCGCGGTCCGTGAGTTCGAGCCCCGCGTTGGGCTCTGGGATGATGGCTCAGAGCCTGGAGCCTGCTTCCGATTCTGTGTCTCCCTCTCTCTCTGCCCCTCCCCCGTTCATGCTCTGTCTCTCTCTGTCTCAAAAATAAATAAACGTAAAAAAAAATTAAAAAAAATAATAAAGTAAGTTCTACAACCAACATGAGGCTTGAACAACAACAAGAGACACATCCTCTACCGACCCAGCCAGCCAGGCGCCCCCACAACATCACTTTTGAGTAATTTCTGCCCTAATGCAGAACCTGAAGGTAATCATGAGAAAATATCAGAACATCAGCTGAATCTAAATGAAGAGACATTCTACAAAATAACTGGCCTGTCCTCTTCAAAGTCACTAAAGATGGAAAAAGGCTGAGGAACGAACCCAGATCGAAGGAGACTGCAGATACGAGGCAGTGTAATGAACAGGTGGTCCTCCACTGGATTCAGGAATAGAAAAGAAGATAGGAAAGGCCGTAAAAGGCACGACTGGGACAATTAATCAAATTTGAAGATGGATTAGGGATGAGATAATAGCATCGTTTCAATACTGAATTTCCTGATTTTGATAAAGGTACAACGGTTATATAAGTGAAAGTTTTAGTCTTTACAAAATGCACACTGAAGTGTATACAGACTTCTTAAAATAAAACTAATGTACCTGGCCTTCTTCCGGAGTAACTTCTGAGACTCAGGATAATGCACCAAAATTTCATTCAGGTCCTTCTTATCCAGAATGAAGAGGTTGGTGAACCCGTGGGCGACCACATTGGCGGTGCGACGATTCCCGCCACCAACAGCCAGCAAGCTGGGGCAGAAAAGGGAGGGAGGTGAGATGTGGCAGGCTGTGGCTGTGATCCCACTAAAGTGCTCCTCTCTACCTCTTGCCTGGAGCATGGTGGCGGCCCCACACGGCAGAGAGCCGGGGCCGACCCTGCATATGTCAGCATCCACAGCCCTTGAGGACGAAGTCCCACCCGCTGGCCACCCGCCCCTCCAGCTGGGGCCCACGTCTCCTCATTTCACCCCAGCGTCCCTCTGACCTTATTTCTCCAAACACAGATCCAGCCTTCAGTGTCACCAGCACGGCCTTCCCATCAGGGCCACCCAAGACTTGCACCTCTCCTGCCTGGATGATGTACATCTCTCGGCCTATCTCCCCCTGAAACAGAGAAAGGGTGAGCCCCTCTGTCCTTTCCCAAAATGACCATAAAGGCAGCAGGGCTGGGCCCAGAGGCTGGTGGCACAGCACAGAGGAATGTGAGCCGGCATCCAGCCCCACCACCAACTTGGTCGCTTCCCCTCTGGGGCCTCAGTCTCCCCATCTGTGGATTGGGGAGAGTGGCCACCCCGAACCTGCCTGACAGGGTTATATGGGGAGTTAGTGGTGTGATGTAAAGCAAAATTCAGGGTAAGCTAGGAGGTGCAGGTGCAATGCATTCTGCAAACTCCCATTGATACACTCCAGTGGAGGGCCCAGAGGCATGGAAAGTCCAACAGTGGTTCATACAATAAGCTGATACCTGTGCCGAGCACATACCACTTCAGGAGCTTGGTAAGCATTGGCTGATTGAAATAGGAATGAGAACAACATCAGTCATGTTGTCTGGCCCTTGTACAACGTTTGTCTGTGCGAGGCACTCTTCTAAGTGTTGTATGTGTCTGAGCCTGCTTAATCCCCAACAGCTCTGGGATACGAACTCTTTGCCTGAGGGCACAAAGCTAGGCCAGGGGAGAGCAGGGATTTGAACCCAGGCGGTCTGGTTCCAGACTTTATGGTTGTTGTGGGTTAAACTGTGTCCCTCCCAAACTCACTTGGTGAAGTACTAACCCCAGTTGCTCAGAATATGACCTTCTTTGGAAAGAGGGTCATTGCAGATATAATTAGTTAAATTAAGATGAGGCAGAACTGGAGTTGGGTGAGCCCCTCACCCAACATGACTGGTGTTCTTATAGAGGGGACATTTGGACAGAGACAGGCATACAGAGAAGACAACATGAAGTGACCCAGGAAGGGGAGAGCCATCTATAAGCCAAGGAGAGAGGAGCAGATCCTTTCCTCACAGCCTTGAGAAGGAACCAATCCCTACCGACACCTTGATCTTGGACTTCCAGCCTCCAGGATGGTGACACAATACATTTCTGTTGTTTAAGCCACCCACTCTCTGGTCCTTTGTTACAGAAGCTGTAGCAAACTATTTCAATGGTCTTAATCCCAAATTAAAACAAATGATGAATGAATAGCTTGCTTTGGATTGCCATCAGAAACCCCGTCTGTTATGCACCTTCTGATCCTCATGCCCCCAACAGACCCCTACTTCCTGTGGGTCACACCTGAAAGGACAGAGATCAAGGGCAGGTAAATCGATTACACTTCTGATTCATTTGACAAACATTTCCTGGACATCTCACACGTGCATGAGCTTCTTAACAAATGGGAAGTTTCATTTCCCTGTTTCTGTGTTCAATTTGACACGGACTGAAGGGTCTAAAGAGCTCACCCTCACCTAACTAACCAGCCCTGTTTGGGGGGGGCGGTGAGGGGGGGCTGCCCCAGGGGTGTCTCAGAGAGATCATCGCGGAGCAAAACTGGACAGCAGAGGGTGCCATTCGCACTTGCTCATCAAGGGCTCACTTCCACCTGCCGACTCCAACCACCTGGCTGACGCTTCCTCATTTGCAGTAGATTCTACATTACCCTCAAGGATAATAACAGCAGCAATGGTACCTCCTCTGTGCCAGCACGGTGCCAAACTCTGTAGGCACAACTTACTCAATTTGCACAACCATCCCATGAGGCGGTACCCTCAACATCCCTACTTTACCCATGAGAAGAGAGAGAGTCAGAGAGGGGAAGCCAGTGCCCCAAGGCTGCACAGCTAGGAAGCAGCTCCAGCATCAGACAAATCACTCTATTGCTCCCAAACCCCTTGGCCTCTAGGGCTGCCTCTCTAAATTCTCAACCAGCTGTAACACTGTTTCCCCATTTCCCTGGGCTCTCTGCTTCCAGAAACTTCACTGCTGCACAGCATACAACTTGGAGATGGGGGCCTTCTTGGGCTGGTTTCCTGAGTCTTACAGGGGTTGCTTGGGCTTTTTTTTTCACCCCTGTACACACATTGTCTTGACAGCTTGGGAACAAGAGGACTCAAACCTGAGTTCCTGTCCTTCCACCTTAACCACTCACTCACCAGGTGACCTTGGTCTCACCTCGAAGAATGGAAGCAGAAGCCCTAGACATGTGGAGCCCTGGGTTCAAATCCAAACGTTTTCCAGGATCAGAGGGGTGGTTTAAGGAGTGAGGGGAGCCTGGTATGGGGCAGTGGGGAGGGGTGGGGCCTGTGGCATCAGGAGGGAGGGCAATGTCCCCTAAAGGGGACTCTTGCTATTTGGGAAAGTAGGGCTCAGTGCTAACAGATTTTTTTCTGTTTTCAGCCAGAAATATGACTTTCTATGCAAAGCTTCAAATTAAAAAAAAAATGTTTTAATGTTTATTTATTTTTGAGAGAGAGAGAGAGAGAGAGAGAGAGAGACAGAGACAGAGTGCTAGTGGGGGAGGGGCAGAGAGAGAGAGGGAGACACAGAATCCGAAGCAGGCTCCAGGCTCTGAGCTGTCAACACAGAGCCTGATGCAGGGCCTGAACCCACGAACTGTGAGATCATGACCAGAGCTGAAGTTGGATGCTCATAAAACTGAGCCACCCAGGCACCCCAAAACCTTCAAGTTTTTAAAGGTTGGGGACTATTTCAACATTTTTTTAGGATTAGGAAAAAAACCCCACAAAACAACGAATGGACTGGCTGCTATGCAAAGGCCATCAGTTTGCAACCTCTGACCTATCCCAGCCCTTCTGCTGCCCCATTTTTCTGAAAGGAAGACCAAGACCCTGGGAGCAGTTTCATCTACACAGTCAAGGACCTACTTCTCGTTAGGTTGGTCACTTTCCTTTTCTGGAAAGTGGGGTTCCTCGTCCTGATTCCCCTGGTCCTGTGTCAAAAGGAGCAAAGCCTGAGGCCCACCTGAGTTCAATGCCAAACAACCCAGGAGCCCTGGGGTCAGCTCACTGGTGCTATAGTCCCTGTCCCTCCCCAGCAATTCTGCTCTCCCTGGGCTTGCAAACCCCCTGGGCCTTCAGAGGCACCCCCTTCAGCACAGCTCCTAGCAGGGAGATGCGCTGTAAACCCCAGACTGCCTTGCAGCTGCCTCGGGCCACTCACCTTCTTGCACACATAGTCATTGGGCAGGTAGACGACAGAACGAAGCCTCTTCAGCATGTCAAAGATCAACTGTCGGTCACAGCCCTGTCCCCAGGAGGAGGGGGAAAGAATGCCCATTTAGAGGAGGGTGGGGGCTTGGGGCTTCCCAGAACCCTGGGGATGAGGGCGCTAGGTGAGCCATACCTGGAAGAGAGCCACTTTACTGACAATGTTATAGTTCACATCGATGGCGAGGTCTAACCGCATCTTGTCCGGAAGCTGCACCATCAGTTCTGACTCATCTGCAAAGGAGACCCTGGCAATGGTCAGAGACACATCCAGGCCTCTACCCCCCACTCTCCCCACATGGGACCCCAGCCACACCATTCCTCTGCTATCTAGAACCACTCTATACTGGGAGAGTACCCTCTCTGGGCTTTTTGGATGCTATTCCCTCTGCAGGAAACACCCCCGTAGTTAACTTCCACTCATCCTTCAGAACCCAGTACTCCCCCAAAGCCTTCTCTTGAGATTTCCCCCACCCGCTATTATGTTAGCAGTCTCTGTGCTGCAGCGCTGATCACTCTTTATTGCAATGGTTTGTTAATACTAGTCTGTCCTCCTCATGCTCTAAGAATGTTAGCAAGAACTAAAGTATTTCAAACACTGTTTTACAGAGCTTTACAGAGATGGTTTTATTAAATCTCCCAGCAACACAAGAGGTGCCCACTACTATAACCCCCACCTTACAGAAAGGGAGGTTCAGGAGGGCAGTGACTTGCTCGCAGCCCAGGGGGATGGAATCAGATCCCACACAGGCCGTGGGGCTCCAAGGCCAGTCCCAGGAGAGCAGGGGCCCTGTCTATTTTTCCCCATGATGGGTCTGCAGTGCTCAGTGGGGAGCCTGGCACAGAATGAATGTCGGTACTGGGGACAAGAAAGGCACAACCTGACCCCAATCCCGATTCCCTTCTACTCCACCACAATTATTTATGGGCTCAAGAGCTGATCTGTATGACCCTGGGCAGGTCCGAGCCCTCTCTGGTCCTTAATGTGCACCCTTGTGAAAGGGGGCAATGATTCAGATGTCACAAGTCCATCACTGGCACAGACGAGGCCATGCATGTGAATGTGCCTTGTGTAGAGTGAGTACAGTAGCAACGGGCGCTAATGAAGATTCTACACTCACAGATTTGACAACACCTTCAGCTCAGGAGAGCTTGGAGTTGAGGTGTAGCTTCTTCAAGGCCAGAGGGAAGCCCATGGAAGCAGTGGGGGGCTCCTTAATTAGCTGAGAGAGTTGAGGGGGCTCTAAGGCACACAGTCAGTGGCCCACAGGCTTGTCAGAGGGCTCCAAAATGATGTCTACGCTCTGAAAACAAAATTACTAGCTCCCAAAGATAAAAAAGAAACTGGAAAAAACATAATTGTAAATAAATCAACATACAAATAGCATATGCAAATTTTATGAAGGGTTCCGTTTAGAATTCACAAAAACTTCACTACATTTGAAAACAACCTACGGGTTAAGGTTCTCCCACTTTGCAAGAATTCCTGGGCACACCCCAGTTCTTCTGACAAGAAGGCAGAAACAGTGGTGAATGAAATGCATGGTTGTAGCCAAATAATTTCAGAAGGAAAGCATAACATCAAAAAGTTGACAAACAATATATGTGTAGGTGTGTATATGGAAAGAGAAAGCGAGAGGGGGTCTTCCTTCTCTCCTGACTTCAACTGTACTTCCATCTCTGATGGGGATGTATTTCAAGGCAGGTGAAGTGAGGGGGCAGGGCATCCAGAAGACACGGCTCTCAAGTCTTCAGGGCTCTCTCAACGGCCCAGCCTGGGGCACCTCACAGGCCTCCCTAGGCCCCTCTCACTTAAGTAAGTGTTCAGGACCTCAGGGACACAGGGTCAAAGGTTGGGACCAAAAAGGCAGGGCCCCGGGAGGAGGTGACCAGGGGGTAGCTGCCTGGCAGCCGGGGCACTGGTCTTACCCAGCATGCCTTGGGACTGCCAGGTGTATTCGTACCAGGTCTTGACACGGTTCTGTACGGACCTGGGGATCTTGTAGAAGTTCATGTACTTCACTGTGCTGTCCATGCAGCTGCGGTAGTAGGTCTGCCCTGCAGTGGCGGCCCCCACCACGTCTCTCATCTAGGTCCGGGGAGGAAAAGTCAAGGATCAGAGTGGGGCTCTGGGGACATGTGTCATGAGCATGTTTACTCTACACTGACCAGGGGTGCTCGAGGAAGGGGGATCAGGAGACAGGGAGATCCATGTCTACACACAGAGACAGGGGACTGTCTGACAAGGGAAACTCCACCTCCAGGGTGGACACGGGACGTGAGGGCCCCCGGGGCCCCACCAGGAGGAGATGCCTCGCTGGGCTGGGCTGATTCTGGTATGACATGGCCCCTTGGTGCCAGAGGCCACTTTGAACTTACTGGAGGAAATAACTCAGTGTACTGCCCTGCAGGGCAGGGCCCCTAGAGGCAATTTTGAGGCCGGCTGATTGCGGCCCCATGTGCTGATTAGAACATGAGATGCACCCCCAGCATAATAGATACTCTCAAGGTTTCTCTCCAAGGGAACAGCCCAAATCCCCAGGCTTTGCAGAAAGCCATTCGGCCCAGCTCTCCAAAGACACCCCAAAGGGACTGACATTTCAAATGGAAGCAACGGCAGAGAAGAATCGGACCCAGACCTCTGCATCATCCTCTTCACCCAGCAGGCCCCAGGGCTCCAGCCTCCTGACTCGAGGTCCTGTGCTCTTTCCCGGGCTTAGTTCAAAAGAAATGGCCACAGATGGTGACATCTGTGGCAGCAGTGGGAAGGAGACGGGCCCCGCAGGCAGGTGCGTGGCAAGCCAGACCAGGGACCCAGGTACCTGTCCGATCATCACAGAGAAAGCAAAGACACCGGTGAAATAGTTCAGCCCCTGGAAGATAATTTCGAAGAGTGTCTTGGGGTCAGGCAGCCCACCAATGGTGATGAGGGTCTTCACAGCCCAGTAGTAACAGCGAATGTAGCTGGAGAGAGAAGAAGAAGGGGACTGCGGTCAGCAAAGGCCCCACCGTGCTGAGCCTGGGTGTCCTGCTCTGACAGATGTGCATTGTGCAAAAAAGGAAACCTTTTACACCTTCTAAGTGCAAGGAAAACAGCTGCACATGCATAGAGCGCTCTGCACTTTCTGGAGTGTGTTCACAGATGCTGTCTTGCTGGGTCGTGGCTCTGCCCCAACCCTGAAGGGGCATGTTATCACCCCCCATTTATGGATGTGGGAACTGAGGCTCTGGAAGACTGCTCAAAACACTTGGCAGGAGGATAGACCAGGGTCTTCTGACTCCTGATGCCTGGGCTCCCTCAATATTCTTTCAATTTCCACCAACTTCCCTTGGCCATCCCACCATGTTGGTTCATGGAAAGCAAGAGCAACATCAGACTTGGAAGATACCTTGAGGGCTATCTTTTCTGACCCTCTCCCTTGCCCATCCATTTTCCAGATAGGGAAACTGAGGCCCCAGAAGGGAAAGGAAACACTCAGGGTCACCAGCTGGCAAGGTCTGGAGCTGGAATCAGAACTCAGGTTGCCATCTGTTTCTCTGAGCTGTCACCCCACTGTTGGTAATCACTCTACACAGGCACATGATCCAGGGAAGGGAGGTATGGGTGATGGGGTCCCACTTGGTGGTAAAAGGAATAGGAGATGCCCCAAGCTGATCTCGTTATCACAAAGAAATAAGAGTCCCTCATATACCTGTTCACGCCTTCAGGCTATGCCTTCCCAGGGGTCAGCAATGGGTGAGGTCAACAGAGCTTAAAGACAGGGCGATTCCAGCTGGCTTTCCTGTCTTCCTACCAGGGCATCCAGAGCCTGCCCTGGCTCCCGTGTCCTGACACACGCACACTTTCAAGGTCCCTGCACAGCTCCACAATCAAGAACATGATCCGGCTAGCAGATAATCCAGCCTGAGGATGGCCCCAAACGGGTCCTCCCCTGAGCTCCATTCACCAGCTAATTATGCAGAGTCATAGTTAGAACACGTTCCCTGGAGCTGGACTGGCCCAGCTCGAACCCAGCTCTGCCACTTCCTAGCTGCGTGATGCGGCCGAATTACTCAGTCTCAGCAAGCCTCAGCTTCTTTCTCCTAAAATGGGCATGATAGCAGTGAAACATCCTTCACAGGGTGATCGTGAGGACGAAATGAGGTGCTAGAACTGACAGGCTGTCAGTACACGTCAGCGGCCACAGCCTTCACTGTTACTGGTGCCTGCCACATGCCGGCAGTGGGGAACAGGCTCGTCTGTGTCCTCAAGAAGCTCACCCCCTGGTGGGGGCAGGCAAGAAATCGTGCAATGAGCACAGGGAGGGGGAAGCAGAGGTTATTGGGAAGTTGAGGGGGGTGCTCTGCCTCTGACTACTAGCTACAAGGTCTGGGGCAGGGCTCTGGGCAGCCCTGCTCCTCACCACGCCCCCCTCCCAATACACAGAGATCCCAGGACAACACAGGCCTCCCCTGTTAAGTCCCCCATCATACTGGTCCCAGCCACCAGAGGGCGCAGCCATAAGCACAGACACAGCTGACCTCTGGCTGGGAGCTGGGGTGCCAGGCCACCCGACAGAAAGGCAACATGAGCAACGTCCCCAGAGCTTTCCCCACACTCTTTCTGATTGGAGGAATCTTCTGTTGGCCTGGTACTTCTGAGGCCTCCCTGAAGTCCTTGTGTCCTGTGGGGACCCCTACATGCTCCAGGCCAGGCAGAAGCAGAGCAGGATAAAGGACCCAGCTCTGTGGGAACTTGGGTCCTCAAGCCCCTGGCTCACAGCAGACACTCAACAAATGGTCACTATTTTGAAAGTGATTATTACCCATGATATTGGACTTCTGGAGGAATCCTTTACCATTTGTGGTTTTGTGGCACATATTAGGGGTTCCCTGTAGGATTTCATTTGGAGAAGAGTAGTGTGGCCAAAACAGTGTGCCCCTTCCAAGGTCCCTGCAGAAGGGAGTCCCAGACAGCTGTCCCCTGCCCTCCCCCTCCCTGCTTGCCATTCCATCCTGGGCCTGCCCATGATGGGCCTGCCAGGCCTGCTCCTGGGACTTGGGTTTAAGCTTGTTGGGGCACAAACCCCTTTGATGGATAGATATGGAAAGCTAGCAATCTTCTCCTTAGGGAAGCCAGCAAGTTCTCAAAACTGGGCTCCAATTTCCAGGGTTGGGAGTGGGACCTCCTTATATCTCTGGATCCCAGGTTGGGAACCCCTTTCCTGGTATGCCGGCTTCCCCATAAGAATGAGTGTAGCCAGGAGGTGGTCACTGACTCCCATCCAGGCACGAGCTGGACGTGTTACACACATTAGTTTATTATTCCTCACGAGAAATCTGAATACAAGACTATCCTCATGTTGTAGAGGAGAAACTGAGTCTCTGAAAAAGGAAGGGCCTCGGCCAAGGTCACTGAGCTAATTTCAATGAACAGCTTCTATTCTTCCTACCCTGGCCTCCTGTCCCTAAAAGCCTGTGCCCTGGATCTCCAGGCTCACTCCCCCGGTCAGGACCTCGCGTGCTTCTGGTTTCCTTCCCACACTGCCCTCCCTTCTCTCGATCACAGAAACCCTTTGTCTGGGCCTTTTGTTGCTCCCCCTAACTGGCTCCTCTGCTCCTGTCCTCTATGTCTGTCCCCACCTCTGCCAAAACCAGTAGAGTCCCCTTTCTGAGATCCCCCAGGGTCTTGTCATCCCCCTGCTTAAAAGGTTTTGAGGCAAGAAGTGAGAGGGTAACTGGGCTAGCTTTCCATATCCATCCGACCTTTGAAAATGTGGCAGGGGCGCCTGGGTGGCTCACTCCGTTAAGCGTCCAACTCTTGACTTCAGCTCAGGTCATATCTCACCATTTGTGAGTTCGAGCCCCACATCAGGCTCTGTGCTGGCAGTGTGGAGCCTGCTTGGGATTTTCTGTTTCCCTCTTTCTCTCT